CAGTGGGCAGTGCCACAGCATGGCAGGGCTGGGTGCTGCTGTGGAAGGGTCACAGCACCAGCACGCTGAGCCCCTTGGGCAGGGCAGGACAGGACCAGCCAGCTCCATTAGCACCAAATCCACTGAATCCACAGCAGCTGGCCCAGGGCAGGACCAGCCAGCTCCACCAGCACCAAATCCACTGCCCAGCCGAGCACCAGAGCTGGTGCCCACGTGGGAAGTGCTGGGGAGCAGGACCTGCTCAAAGAGGAGGACAGAGACCACCAGAGAGAGATCCCCTGCATTCATCTGTGCCAGAAACACCAGCACCCCATCGTAGCTCATCTCCCCACTGCTGGGGCCTGGCCCAACAACCTCCCCACGCAGAGGCTGCCCCAGCTTTGAAAATAGATAGTAACAAGTGAGCGCGGGCAGCAGAAGTAGCAAAGCATATGGTAGGTGTTGGAGTTTATTCCTGTCGGTGAGTGTCAGCAGCGACAGACGGCTGGGGGTGGCGAAGCGAGAGGTTTTGGTGGGCCCGTGCAACACCACCCCACGGACCCCACAGCTGCGGCGAGGGTTGGGACCCTGCCACCCCCTGCGTGTGCCATCAGCGGGCACCCGGCGCTGCGATGCTCTCCTGGCGCCTGGCAGCGCAGCTCGGGGCTGTGTGAGCCCCCTCCTGCACCTCAGGGATGTGCTCGAGGCACCCCTAAACCCGCCACAAATCTGTGATGTGTCCAGACAAGGCTGTGAGCCCCATCTGCCCCAGATGAATCTGATCTGGGGGAGCACCTGGCTGCTCTCTGCTCCAGCTGCTGCTCTGCAGCCACGGCTGCTCCGGGGTCTGCCAGCACTGCCCGGCCAGCCCAGCCTGGCCCTGTGGCACTTGGGGGCTTCCATGGAATTGCCCCGGTGGCCAGACCTGCTCTTGCCACCCGACGCCTCTGCCGGGAGGTGGGGTGGGCAGGTAGCCAGAGGCAGTGGGAGGGAACAGATTGTCCGCAAAAAAGCGCGTCAGTTCCCGAGCGGCAGCTCGGAGCCGGATCTCCTGAGGGTTTGTACCTTGTTTGTCTGAGCCCGCTCAGAGGGTCTGCGCCTGTTTGAGGACTCTTGTAGCACCATGGTGATGTGGGGCTGGGAAAGGTGAGCCCCCACCCCAGCAGAGGCTCCCAGCAGGACTGTGGAGCTCCTGGTGCTCAGCGGTTTGGGCACTGCTGCAGCCTCGGTCACCTTGAGGATCTCATCCTGCCCAGACTAGGCAAGGAACAGCCCCAGCAAGCACTGCAGACGGTGTACATCCTCCCCTGGCACAGGTGAAACAAACACTCGCCCAGCAGCAGCTCACCTGCGGCTCCTGCCCCTGCTAATTGCAGTGTTCTCACTCCACCGATGTGCTTGATAAGATTAGCAATTACAGAAACCTCATGCGACAATTGGTCTGGGTGAGGAGCCGTGTGAGGGAAATTGGACGGAAGTGCAAACGGGGATTAATTATAACCTGGCAGTGGACAGGTTGGAGGGTTTGAATCTGTGTTTTTATGTATTTCTCAGTGCAACCTCTGGCTCTGCCACGGGTGTGAAGGGTGCCAAGGGCTTCACCACAGCAAAGACGTGCTCGCTGCTGTGAGCGCGGACAGGGGTGGGCCTGGGCTGGGATCCCAGTGTGGCCCTGGCACGGGCGAGCGTGGCCGAGGCATTGCTGGAGATCCCTGCCCTGGCTGCTCCCCGCCTGGCAGCTGCCGTTGTTATCTCCATTGCCATGGCAATGCCAGCCCGGCTGTGCCTCCGCCAGGCAGGCGCGGTCCCACGCCGGGCTGGAGCCCCGCTCCCACCACAGCCCACCCTGCTGAACGGCCAGGGCACGGGCAGGGGGGTTAACACAGCCCCAAAACGCTCTGGGGGTGCAGATGGACATGGCCCCTCACCCAGGAGGTGAGGTCTGGGTGGGAAGCAGGAGGAGAAGGAGAGTCTGCACCTGGAACACCTCGCAGCCCTGCCCTGCTGTGCCCAGCCAGGTGCCCTCCACCACAGCAGGACCCCTGTGCCCCACAGCCACCCTGGGCTCAGACACAGCCCCCCTGTGCTGGTACCAGCCCGTGGCCCCAGCAGCAATACGGATCAGCACCCGGCTGCACTGATATTGAAGTGTTTGCCAGCAGCTGCTGCTGTTTAACAAATCCTCCTGCCTGCTTATTTATGCCATTTTTTTTGCCCTCCCAGCTGGGCCTTCTTGATGCTTTGGGAATTTTGCAAACATTTTAAAGGCAGAATTTTGAAGTCCACCAGGCAGCTAGGGAGGAGCAGGTCACTAAAAAGGGTGAGGAGAGGCAGGGAAGATCCTCCACCCTGCTGCTCTCACCTCATCCATCCTTGCATGCTCCCTGCACTCTCCCACTGCAGTTCCTTTTGTTCTGTACATCCACCGTGGCCCCAGCCCCAAGTCAAGGCTGGATCCAGGGGCTTGCATTAATGGTGAGGGGGAGTCCAAAGTGCCATTTCCCATCCTCTGATTGCCTTTTCCTGGCTATGAAGGCAAGATCTGGGCCCAGGTCCCTGTTGGATTGCCATCCTTAAAGCAGAAGAGCAAAGTGCAAACGGAAAAGCAGCACAGAGGGAGCGTGTGCTGGGGCTGACAGTGCTGGGCAGCTCTGCCAGCCCCACGTACACCCTGGCAGCTGCATTTCAGCACAGTGCCGAGTGCCTCCGGGCTGACAAGGAGCTGGAGGACATCTCTGCTCCCGGCGGGCTCTTGGGACCCCAGCCCGGGGGTTTCCGTGCGCCCTGGAGGAGGAGCACAGACTGCTGGGTGCCCGGGGGTAACGCCGCGGTGTCACTCTCCACTGATGTGACTACAAGAGACTCTGGGATTCAATTAAGTTCTGTTTTCCTCCCAGTAACAGTGGGAGTCTCTCCTCTCCCCTTTAAGGCAGACACGCTGCCATGGAAGACAAATGCCTGCAATAAAGCGCTGGAGCGCGGTGCCGGGGGAGGCCGATGCTCCCCGCAGCCCGGATCGCGTCCGCCGCTTCCCCGCGCCCTCCCCGCGCCTCTGCACGCCCGGTCCCGCACCGGCCGGACCGGCCCAGGCGTCCAGAACCGTGTGGCGGAGTCGCCACGGGCACCCGGCTGGCTCCGGCCGCAGGGCCACCCCCTTCCCCGCCTGGAGCCCCCCCGCCACCGGCCGAGCGTTGCCAGGCAACGGGAAGATGCTTTTCTGACCGAAACGGTAAAATCGACAGCCGGAGTCGGGGGTGGGGGGAGGGAAATGGCTGGGCTGGGGCTGCCCGCGGGAGCACGCGAGGCTCCCCCAGCCTCAACAGCACCCAAAAATTCCCGAGAGGAGATTTGGCCTTTGCAGCCCTGCTCAGCCAAAACTGGCGAGGAGCCCCGAGCGGTGCCAAGGACAGCGGTGGGCACCGGGACCCCCAGCCTGGCTGCAGGATGGGGCACGGACAGGGTGTCCCCAGCAGGGACAGTCCCGCTGTCCTCCTCGCTGCAGAGCCCTCCCGGGAGCCTTGGCCCTGCCGAGCACCCTGGATGAAATTGAGCCCCTAATTTGCCCTCTCCCTCCCTCCCTCCCTCCCTCGCCAGCCATCACGCCATGGCTAAACGAGCTCCAGGCAATTTTCTCAGAAGTTGAGTCCTCGCGCTGAGGGAACACAGGGCTAAAAATAGCCGTGGCCTGCGTGTGCCTCTCACCCAGGTGAGCCTCACTCCCTCCCTCCGGAGATCAGGGCTCCTGCGCATCCAGCTGCCTCCCCTGCTCTGCCTCAGTTTCCCGCACAGACTGGGCCACCCAAATGTGCACCAGCGCTGTGGCAGCCTCTGGCCCGGGGTCCCGAGGAATCCCTGAGCAGGGGAAATCTCCCGGGGCTCAGACATCACTTGGTGTGCACAGCAAAGGGCAGAGCTGGAATTTCACTGGGCTGCTCTTTACCTGGGCACCCCCTGACCCGAGGGGGTGCAGTGGGGATGTGTCACCCTCTTCCCCAGCAGCACCTCCCAGTTCAGGAGCTCCTCTCAGCATGACCAAGCCCTCCCAGGTCCAGTGAGGCAGATGCATTTCCTTCCCACGGTGTCTCAATTACAAATTCAGAGTTAAATCTTCCCCCACAAGATACCCCTCTCCGCCCCTCTGGCTGCTTCCAGCGCTTCAAATGTTGAACACTTTCCAGGGATTTTCGTGTGCTCAGGCTGACCCCATCCACTCTGGTTCAGACTAACTTAATCAGCCTCATTTTGTTACTAACTGCTGCAGCTTTGGACCTCTAGAAAAAGCATGACTTAAATTATTAGCACCTACCAAGCTGCTTTCACCAACCCTGTGGGGGCCAGAGGTGAGAGAACAGATCTGTTCCCACCCAGCTTCTATAGCTACCAAAAACGACAAATTATCAGAATTGTGGAAATTAGAAAAATGATATTTAGGTAACAGGCAAACACTCCTCTTTTCTTCAGCAGCATCTGGCTAGGAACAGATTTGGAAGTGGCAGGTGGGGAGAAAAGAAAGCAACCTGAATGCTGTCAGCTGGGCGGGGGGGGGCCTGGGAGTGGCGAGGACAAAACCATCACCATTTTCTTCATCACCAGTGCTGAGCAGGGCTGCAGGGCTCAGGATGGGGGAGCAGGCGAGGAGGAGGAGGAGGAGGAGGAAGGACACCCACAGAGTGTGGGAAGGGGCTCTCCCTCAGCACAGCCCTGGCTGTGAGCTGGCAATGCCGTGGCTCAGCACAGCCCTGAGTCCCCCCTCGAGCAGGAGCAGCACCTTTCCCCATGTACCCACCTCTCCCCAGGAGATTCACTCCAACCTCACCCCATGGCAGCAGGGGAAGAGCTTCAGAAGCACCCTGAGCCCCTGGAAGGCTGCTTGGAAAGGGCAGCACCCACAAGAGCAGTGCTGCTCCGTGTCTGGACAGTGTTGAGGTTCCAGCTCTGCTCCCCCACACAGGGAGTCATCAAGAATAATGCTAGGAAATATCTTGGGGAAAGCAGGAGCCAGGGCCACACCTGCATCTGTTTTAGAAATTACTTTATTGCACTAAAAAGAGGAAATCATCTGTAAACAAACATTCCATTCAGGTATTAATATATTTTTCACTCCAAAAATACATCATTAAATCCAGCCACAGAAATATCAAAGCAGGAACAATAGAAAATAGCTCCAGCAGCAGAGAGACCCATCCAAGCAACAGCCCTGGCTCCCACACCACCAGCCCAGCTCAGAGCAGGGCTCAGAGCAGCTCATCCTGGGGCTCCCTGCATGGTCACACACCCAGCTCCACAGGACAGCCCTGGGACAGGCTGGGGTAGGACAGCACGAGGGTCCCCAGGCCCCTGGGTCTCCCTCTGGGGTGATCCTCAACCCAAGGAGCAGTGGGCTCCTGCTCTCAGCATCCCCCTCCCCCAAACCCAAAGGCACACGGTCCTTCTGCAGGGATGTGACGCCCCTCAAACCTCTCAGAGCACCAAAACCTTCATCCCAGCTCCCATTTTCCCCCTTCCTGCAGCCTGTACCCCCCATCCCAGCAGCTCCTGGGTCCCCCCAGCCCCTCACGGGCACAGCACCCCAGGGAGCACGGGGTGAGTGTGCAGGGGCTGTCAGGCAGCAGCCAGCTGGGCAGGGTACCCTTCCTGCCCCAGACATCCTCAGGGGCAGGATGTTCACCCCACACCCCGGGATGTGACACCTCTCCCTATCCCCCCCTCCCCAGAGCCCTCACCTGCCCCCAGGATGAGCCAGGGCTCTTGGGGACCGGGGACCATCCCTCGTGCTGGCTCCTGGGGGAGCACAGGGAAGCCTCAAGTGGGAAACTCCCTGTGAAGGATGGACGTGTCAGCTCCTTATGTCCTGCACGTTTTCAACCACAAGCTCAGCAAACAGCCACGATCACCCTGAATCCCCCCGACATGCAAACACGGCGCGGTCAGAACTGTGCCTCGCGTACCTGGAACATATTTACAGACAAAGTAAAAACGCTGCAAAAGATCAGCCTCGGATATAAATAGCCAACACTGAGATCTGCCATCTGCTGCAAAAGGACAAGGAAGGAACATGGACTGCCACCACAGAGGTTAACATAGAGGGGACACGTGTGTGCGTGTGTGTCCACGCGTGCTGCGACAGGACGGGAGCGCTGCAAACCCTGCTCCCTGCACAGAAACATGCAGAGCCCGACACAAAGGGTGACACCACACCAAACAACAACGCAGCGTGTTTTATCCACCCGCAGAAACGCCCCGGCTGGCATCCTCCCCGCCCCCACTGTCCCCAGCCACTCAGCCAGGGTGACAGGGTGGGGTGGGAAGGGTTGGGAGCACCTCACCCCAAAGGGAAACTGAAAGCCAGGCCAGTCACTTTGGGAAGCCAGATCCTGCTGGGCACAGGAGCTTGGTGGGCCCACAGGACACATCTCTGCTGCCCAGTGGGTGCAGCCACTTGAAAGATCCTCTGCCCTCAGACAAGGGAGGATGGAGGGTTGTGGAGCCTCAGCCTGAACCCCTTCCCAGCCTCACCTGGGATTGCCCCATCACTCAGGGGGGGCTACTCCTGTCACCTCAGCTTTTGTCAGCAAGCACATCTGCTGGGACACTGCCTGGGACCATCCGTGTGCCCAGGGCAAGGGGTGCCAGCCCCCGGCATCTCCCTCCCATGGGCAGGGGAAAGGCACAGGCAGCCTCCTGGATTTGGGCAAACCAAAGCCCCCCAGAGCTCCATAAGCAGCTTCCCACTGGGGGTCAGCAGTGGGGACAGTGCTGGGGTGGGCAGGGAGGGCAGACCAAGCCAACCTTGCAGCCTCACAAGGCTGGACCGAGTCCAGGAAAGGCTCAAAAGCCACAAACCTGACTCATCCCCCAGGGTGACTGTCCTTGGCCCACTCTCAGGTCACCTCTGCAGTATTTTCTTTGCAGTTTCCAAGACCAGAAACTTGTCTTTTAAATTAAAGCTGCCACCTGACTACAGGTGCTGGGGCTTTGAGAGGTGGCCATAAGTGTGCTACAGAGATTTACCCACCTCCAACCTGCTTGGTGGCAGCTGGAGACCACAGGCACAGGGAGGGAAGAGTCCAGCGGGGCTTCTCCCATCCTCCCTGGTGGGGAATGGGCTGGAGGCTCCCCACTTTCTGCTGGGCTCCAGGAGATGCAGCCCCGGGGCAGGACCAGGGAGGGAGCAGGGGCAGAGGCTGTGGCTGCCAGCTGGTGTTGGCAGAGCCCCGCAGCAGCACCATTCCTGGGGGACCCCCACACTCTGCCACGACCCCGGCCCTCCTCAGGGGGCCCTTCCAAACCCTCCTCCAGCGGGGCTGGGGGACAGAGCCGGCCGCCCTGCCTCGCCCCAGCCCCACAGGTGGGAGGGCTCCCTCCGGGGCTGCTAGCAGGTACCTACAGGCAGGACAGGAGGGCGGTGAGTGGCAGCTCCTTCTCCCCCAGCAGCGTGTCCCGCTTAAGGCTGCTGCCCTTGTTGACCACCTTGAGCTTCAGGGACATCTTCCTGGCGTGGCCGGGGCCCAGCCCATCGAAGAAGAAGTCCTCGTTGAAGACGGGGTTGCGGCTGTTCTTGACGATGGTGCTGCGCTGCTTCTGCAGCTTCCCGGGGTTGAGGCACAGCGAGACGCAGCAGTTGATGCTGCGCAGGTCGACGAGGGCATCGTAGAGGTCCTCGGCGGAGACGAGGCGCACTCGCAGCCGGGCGTTGGAGGGGTCGTACTCGGCGGCCAGGCGCAGGCTGCCGCCCCGGCTCAGCCGCAGGCTGTGCTCCCGGTCACGGTCACGGCCCGCGGGCAGGTCCAGGGGCAGCAGGGCGGTGGGAGGCTGCGTCCCGGCCGGGGCGCTCCTGGCACGGCGCTGGGCGCTGGGGCTGGTGTCGGCCGAGCTGTCGTCGGTGGACAGCGAGCTGTTGCGGGCCACCGAGTGCTTCAGCTTGATGACCTTGGACTGGCTCTCCTGGCTGAAGAGCTTCAGCAGGGACACGGAGCGGGAGAGCAGCGGGGAGCCGAAGGGTGAGGACTCTGCTGAGGAGCACGTGTCGCTCTCTCCGCCGCTGAAATACCGGCCGGGGTGCATGAGGGCGGCGCCGAGATCGGCGGGCGTCCGGCGGCCGCTCTCGCCGTTGAGCTTGGCTTTGCGCTGGGCGCTGGGCGAGGTGACGGGCGAGGGGCAGAGGCTGCTGTGCTCGCTGTGGAAGAGGGATTCTTTGCGCCGGGTGTGGGGGCTCTCCATCAGCGTGGCAAAGCCGTAGGAGGTCTGAGCCTTGGGCACGTAGGGCAGCGACATGGCCGTCTGTGCCTGCGGGTCCACGTTGGTGCCGCAGCTCCCCTCGGTCCAGTCCTCAGCGGTCTCTATCTGGATGATGTGCCGCCCGGTGGTCCGGGACCGGGAGCGGCTGGACGGGCGGGGGCTGCGCGGGGGCTTGCGCTTGGCCAGGTCCTGTTCTGAGACTGAGGCACCCAGAGCAGCCCCCGCGGGCACCTCGGAGCCCTCAGCCTCGGCGGGTGCCGCGCTCAGCTTGGGCGGGATGAAGAAGTCGGGGATCTTGTCGGGGGTGAGGACGTTGCTGTAGCGGGACCCCCGCGAGGACTCGTCTGTCCCCGAGCCCCGGGACCCGCCGTTCTCCGCCACCCCGCGCAGCCGCTCCAGGAGCCACATGTTGCTGCCGGGTGTGGGGCTGGAAGAGACCCGAGGGGCAACGCTATCACCGGGAACCGGGCACCGGCAGAGGCAGGACAAAGCCGGAAGCCCCGGGAGCGATCAGCGGCACCCGGACCGGGCAGGCGGGGGGACGGGACAAGGACGGGAGGGAACTGGCCGCGCCGAGGGACACGGGGACACGCCAGCCCGGGGAGGAGCGCGAAGGAACCGGCCGCGAGGAGCGGGGATCGGGGACCCGGGGGACGGGGACCCGGCGGCGCCGAGGGATGCGATGGGACGGGGCAGACGCGACGCGACGCCGGGACCGACGGACCGACCGACCGGCGCCGCCGCGAGCGGGACGTTGCCGGGAGCCGCCGCACCTGGAGCGGAGCCGCCGCCGCCACCGCAGCCCGGGCGGGGCGGGCGCGGACGCGCTTTTATACGGCGGCGGTGGCGGCGGCGGCTCCGCTCCCCGTCCGCGCCGCCGCCGTAATCCTCCGAGTGCGGCGCCCCCAGATTTCTGCTCGCCGCGCGTGGCCCGACCGGGGCTGGAACCGGGACCGGGACCCCGACCGGGCGGGACCGGGACTGGGACAGTGAAGCCCCGGGGTGCTGATGCTCGGGAGGTGCAGGAACCAGAGCCCGGGATATCCGGCCGTGTTCTCACGGGAGTGTCGGCTTTGGGATGGGGCCAGGAGTGGAATCGGGACGGCAGCAGCCCCGGTCCGCCCCTCCCGCCCTCCCGGTGCCTCCAGTCCGCGGCGTGGTCGTTCTCCTCTGGGAGCAGCCGCTTCCCACTCGCAGCTCTTGATCTCAAAGCACTGAATGAAGCCAGCAGCGTGTCGGGGCTGAGGAGTTGCCTCATCGAGTGGTTTAATATTGCTCTGGAGGAGCTGGGGGGGCAGTGCCACATGTCACACTCCCCCACGTCACACAACCCGCCAGCCCCTGGAGGGATGCGGTGAGGGCTGGGGACACCGGGACAAAACGTCAGGAGGGTTCACGGGAGCATCACAGCTAGCCCCGGTGTTGCAGGGGGTCGGGAGAATCAAGCGAGTGATCGGGCCCAGCCCCGGTGCCCGGGGATGTACAGCCTTGGGGACAGGGATGCACCGAGAGGGACAGTGCCACAAAAGGGTCAGGCGGCTGTTCCTTGCTAGCTGCTGCCCTGTGGGTGCCATCAAGCTGCGGGAAGCACCATCACTCCCCAGCAGTGCAGGGCTGGCAGTGCCGGCCAGGAAGAACAGCCTGGTGTGGTGAGCGCCTTCCGCGGGGGCTGCTGCCGGAGGCCTCGGCTCCCTCCGCATTCGCACTTGGAGCTGGTAAAAAGAGGCGTCCGGCCGTGCCGAACCACACCGAGCGCTGGGATGTCGCAGGGACAGCAGTGGGGAGGGGATGGTGATGTCCTGGCTGCACCCTGGGCTCTGACTGCGGAATGCCGAGCCGGGTTCCGCAGGGAGGAGAGGGCAGATGGAGCCCGGGGGAGGAGGACGAGGCTCACGGAAGGGGAAGCTGGTGAACAAAAGGCCGATGTTTGCTTTTCCTCCACCCTGCGAAACTGCGGGTAAACAAGGTGCAGAGATGGTTGAGTTCCCTTGAGATAACAAAGAGCGCTGGGGCCGGGCCAGCTCTGCCCGCACGGCTCGGAGCCTGCAGGGCACGGAGGGGAGCAGGGAGCTGCCCGGCTGCCCACCGGCAGGGCTGGGGACGCTGGCAGGGGCTGGCAGAGCTGGGGACATCGCTGGTGGAGCCGGCAGTGTGCTACCACCTGCTGGAAGCTGGGAAGGAAGGAGACCTGCTATGGGAAAGGGTTTGTGCTAGGACGCCCTGAAAAACCGAACTGGGCGTGTCTGTGGTCTGCACATTTGAGACTAATGCTGGGGACGGGTTGGTCAGTGAGATCTCCAAAGCCCTGGGAGAGCAAGGAGGCCACGTTCTCTGCAGCTGCTCTTACTGTGGCTTCCAAACCTTCCCAAAACACCTCAGCCTTCCCATCACAGGGGCTGAAGAAGCCGCAGCCCTTGAACCCAGCTCTGGGTTGAGGCACAGAGCCCCCTGAACCCATTGGCACCGCACATCAGCCTCAACCAAAGTGGTTAAACCCCTGAAACAACAGCCCCACCAGCCCTTCATCCCTTCAGGGCAGCATCCCCGGGGCTGCAGGGCGAGGCACTGCCAGCAGGTGAACCACACGGGCTCGGTTCTCCAGCAGTGAAATAAGAAAGTCGGCACCCTCACTGCCTTTCCCTGCCTCTATTGAGGGAACAGTGCAATTATCTTTGCAGACGCATCACTCCACGACAAAAAATAGCAGCTGAGATGGAAGCACCACGTCCCCACGGAATCCAGCTATCAATGGAAAATTACGCATTCATTACTGGGCTTTATTTAGGGGCTTATTTTATTCATTGGCTCAGCTGGCACTGGCCAGCCTGGGCGCCGTGTCTGGCAGAGGCCGTCCCCAGCGAGGGGCTGAGGGTGCTGGGGTGACCCTGCTCCCCGAGGTGGGTGCTGGCAGCAGCACTGGGCACGCAGACAGAGCCAGGACAGGCCAGGACTCTGCTGGACCCCCCAGCTGGTGTGACACAGGAGCCACAGCCAGGCCCACCCATGGCTCTGGCTCTGCTGACTGCCACCACAGCTCGGCTTGTGCCACTCAGAGCCACCCCAGGAGGCCCAGGGGTGGGTGGCCATGTGCTGCTCCAGGTGGAGGCAGGAGGGGAGCTGGCAGCAGGAGCCAGCAGGGCAGGGAGCTGCCAGGTGTGAGGAGGAGGAGAGGCCGTGCAGGGCCAGCCCTGGGTGCCAAAGGCCACTCTGAAGGCAGGGGGACACTGGGTGATCCATGGGGGACAGGTGACCCAGAGGGGCAGAGATAACTGTGACTGGACAGGATGGGTTGGCCAAGGTGAGACCAGGCAGGAACTGGTGAGGATGGAGACCTGTCCCAGCACCATGCCCAGGGGTGGCATGAACTTGGGTTCCTTGCTCATTTCCAGGTTTAATTAGAAATGTATTCCAAACCACAAACCCGTGCCCAGAACCAGACACAGGGCAGGTAAAGGGGGTGTGATGCCACAAAAACCTGCCAAACCCCAAGCTGACCAGGGGGCCCCCACGGGCCATGGGACACCTCGTGAGGCAGTGCCAGCAGTTCAGCCCTGCCCTGCACCTTCCCACTGTAGCTTCACCCAGGCCCTGGCCTGGGGAGGGCTGCAGGGGCTTGGGGCCACATGGAGCATCATGTGGCAGCCACTCCTGGGGAGAATCCAGCTGAAAATGGCTGTCCCCAACAGGAACATCCAACAGCAGCATCCAAGAGATGGTTGTGCCTGGCCCCATGGGCAGAGCCAAGCCAGGGGCTACAGCAATATCCACCGGCCCTCATTCCAGTGCTGGGGCAAGTGGGGGCAGCCCTGCCTGGGATGGCTTCAGGCTCCATCCCTCCTGCTGAGGCCACTGAGCAGTTCCCACCCCATTTCACCTGTAGGTGTGGAATTCAATGTCTTTGTGTCCAGCTGGGCAGGGCACCCCATGCAGATGATGGAGGTAGGCAGCAGCCAGGGAGGACCTGCAGGGCCAGGGACCACAAACCTCGCTGGGGAGGAAAATGGGGAGCCTGACCCTGGAGTCCAGGCACAACTGGAGAAGGGGAGCACAAAAGGACCCCGTAGAGTGAGTCCAGAGCCAAGGGAACAGGTCGGGGACTCACATACCCCCTCGGCATCACTGCTTCCTCTGTACAACCTGGCGGAGGTGCAGCTCGCTCTCTGCTGCCACGATGGGCTGCTCGTTCTGCCGGTGGTGGCTGATGAGGTGGCTGATGCTCTCAAACAGCACGTCCTTGGTCCTCACCTGGCACCAGGGCACAGTGGTCCTCAACTCAGCAGAGCTGCCTCTCGTACAGCACAGTGTAACACCCCGTGCCTGCCCACGCCTGCGTCCCCCATCGCCCACCCCACACCCCGCCCCTACCCCGGCCCCAACTGCCCACCCTGTGCCCTGCCCTCAGCCCCGTGCCCTCACCACTCCCTCGGGATCCACCAGCAGCAGGTGCTTGGGCTGCCCGCTGTGCATGCCGGTCAGCACGTACTGCCCCGGGTTGGTGAGGCTGTCCCGCACCAGGAAATCCCCGTCCATCTGCAGGAGCCTCTCAGCATCCCGCCGGCTCATCTTCCCGTGGTACCAGGGCTCCTTCCGGAGCTGCTCCTCCGTGGGGGCGATGGGGGCCTTCCTCGTGGGGGGGCTGGGCCACTGGTCCTCAATGGGGGGGCTGGTGGCACCCCCTGCAATGCACTCATGGAGCTTCAGGGCGTCCTCGAACGGCCCTGTGGGATCCAGGGGTTTGGGGTGTTACACCCAGGGCACGAGGCTGGGCTGTGGACAGACCCCAGCTCACGGCCCCCAGAGCACTGCAGGGCACTGCTGTGGACTCAGCCAGTGCCAGCACCTCTGGGGCTATGGCGGGTGACCCAGACAGCTGCTGGCACAGCTTGACTGCCCCACAGCACCGTTTCCCCTGGGGCAGTGGCTTACTCATGTCAAAGAGGTCCTTTTTGGGGCTCTCCTCCGCCGCCCCATGAGCCACCAGCTCGGGCTCCCAGGCGTCCAGGCTCTGCGTGTTCACGTACATGTGCTCCTCGTAGTCCCGTGGCCCCAGGGTGTGGCTGTCTGCCTGCAGGTACCCGTCGCAGGGCTGGCCTGCGAGGACGGCCATCACCGCTGGCCAGGACTGGGCAGAGTGACAGGGACCCCCCCAGCTCACGGCTTCCCCCCACAGCAGTACCCACCCTGGCTCTCCAGGTCCCAGGGTGGCCCCAGCTGGATGCTCGGGTCTCGTCTGGCTGCAAACCCACCCTAGGAAAGGAGGCAGTAAGAGCGTTGGGGGGGCCTGTCTGGACCCCCAGAACAAGGCCAGCAGTGGCTCTGAGGGGCTCACCTGGCCGGGGGGCACGGAGCTGGAGGGCTGAGTGCGGATGTGGCCCAGGGCTGTGCTGTGGCGGAGCCGGGAGTCAACCAGGCCCCCCGGGGGGGGCTCCTTCCCTGGGATGCTGTTGTAGTAGTCGTGCTCAGCCGCCTCCTCATCCTCCCCCCAGGCTGACTCCTCTGCAGCCAGCGCCCTGCAGCAGGGATGGGTGAGCTGGGGACACCCTGCCTGGCTCAGAGCATCCCCACACCCTGCAGTGACAGGGGTTCCCAGAGGCAGCCCCAGGAAGGGGGCATGCCTGGGACAGGGGTGCAGCAGGGCCCCCCACCCCCCTACCTCTCTGGGGGTACCACCACCTTGGGGGGGCTGTGCAGGTACTGCTTGAAGCGCAGCTCAAAGGCCTGTCCCACCGTGCTGATGACGCTCTGCGCCAGCCCCTCGCAGCACTCCAGGATGTGGCAGGCTGTGGACAGACAGACAGA